TATATATATTGCATGTCTTTATATATTATTACGTTATTAATACATCGCACTCGTAGCACGTTTCTCTCACGTATATCGTCGTCATATCGTTATAAATCGCATGTGTGTGTAGAGATGTAACGCATGTAAACAACAAAATACGCCCCCATTGTGCATATACACGTACATAATAAATGCATACAATACATGCACGCATAATGCAAGCGCATTGGAACGGATTAATACATATTTATAATCTCCAGGGATCAAATAGTCGAGAGTCTAGAAGAGAGTAGTATACGCTATAATTAAGGAAACAAGGTGAGTAGATTTTGATCCATGAAATGAAAAAAAGAGCATTAACTCTTGCTCATAAAAATGTAAAACATTAAAGTGTATGCTTCCGTATATATCTAATCTGATAGAGAGCGATAGTTGAAAGTCTACAATCGTTTCAAGAAATCATCGAATATGAAAAGATATATATTTGATTACGTATTTGTATGTTCCAAAACTATCGCATCGTTTTTTTAATGACGGATTTTTGCAAAAATTTGGAAGTAATGTTACCTTAACGATAATTTTCAACAAATATTCAGTCGCGCGTGTATAGATATATTATATAATATTAGAAAGTTAATTTTGTTGCTGCTCTCACACAGTCGCCTTTTATTATACTAAAGAGAGAGAGATTGCTTCCAAATACGTCCAGCAGTCATTAAAAAATAATGCAGCACTTTTTTTTTAGACACCCTGCATACTCTTCTGTATACCTAGTGTACTTTATTCCTTATTAAGCCGATAAAAGTTAGTTTTCAAGTGTAATTGTGTTATGTGTAGATACTCTTTAAGCTCCTGCGCGTAATATAATTAGTTTTTAATTAATTGTGCATCGTTATCGTTTCCTCTGTATTACGAAAGCAAGATATAAAGATAATCGAGAAAAGGAATGTGAGAAAAATAATTGGATACGTGCAAATATCTTATAGTATATATGGCATCAATATAATAATGTAGGCGCCGAGATATATTGAAATGGAATGGAAAGTAGTTAGTTAACAAAGGTGTAAATGGAGGGCGCAGAGGAAAACAAGCGATGGAGGGGTGAAAGGCGCAGAGGAGAGCAGGCGATGGTATCTTTAGGATACGATTAACGATTATCTAGCTCTTATACGGCAATTGCATCTTCTTTTTATATAAAATATACAAAAATATGTCGGAACGAATATTCACAGATCGGATATTAAAAGAGAGAGTCAATGTATAATATAATATTCAATGTGTTAGAGACGCTTACAGTGGATCTTTGGTAAGTTCCTTCTGGTAGGCAATCGGTGATTGTATCGCCTTCAGGAAATCGCGCTGAGTTTGCAGGATGGCAGTGATGGTATCTACCCACTCCTGCCTGCGCGGTCCACTACTTTCTTCAGCTATGCTACAAGAGAATCCTAGCCCAGGGTTTCGGGGATCCGTCGATCGAATGATAAACTTGTCTGGATCGTCGTTCGAATCTTCCAGACTCATGTTGTTTACCTACGTAAGTAAATATACATATAAGATACAAGATCAATATTAAAACTTGTTTAGAAACAAGAATGGTCAAACGATAGAAATGAAAAAGGTATTAATACGCGTCACACCTTACCTGAATATGTGCTTTATATATGTAGACAGGATTGGTGAATTGCGTCTTCTTGCCGACAGTTTCGCTAAAGATGATATTTTGCTCAAAAAGAAAGACTTGCCATTCCCTTCCTCTCATCATAACGTTTGATATTTCCGACACCAGAAGCGGGCCGTGTAACAAGAGTTTTCCCTGCGCCGTTATTTTACCCTAAAGAAAATTAAACATACATTTTCAAGAATGTTTTTGCCACGTATATAATATCAAAAAATAAATAAATAAATAAATAAATAAATAAAAATATAAAAAAAACGAGAGTCGAGTGAAAAAAAGCAATACTCACGTCAAAACCTTGTAATCTCCCAACGTCCATCATATCGTTTGCAGCTTTAGGAATAACTCGCATGACATGAGCCGCCGCTCTGAGGCCTTCGATTTCCGATAACCTTTGAGTTCGTTCAGTGAGGCGCAGTGCCTCCCGTAGAAGAAGTTGATATTTTGTAATCCTTTGTACAGGCTTGATCAGCAAGTCGCAGAGCTGCAAACGATGCCCAAGTTTTTGCCTAAGTTCCTGTAACATACACGTCTCTTTGATTAAATGTTTCCGTTTGGTGCGTAGCACAAAGCCGCTTATCGATTTAATTTAACTGATTACCTCGAAATAAGTATCTATATATTCGGATACAATGTATTCCGAAACGGGCTTGTTCTGACAATAAACCACGTACATGTGCAACTTTCGTTCGTAACGTTTAAAGAGAGGTCCGAGCTCTTCAGGACGTTCCAAACAACGTTCCAAAGCTTTGAGGAAAAAGCTGAAAAAAAAAGGCCATAGAAGAAATATCGATGTGATATCGTTTCGATAGTCGGGCGATCATCGCTAAAGGAGGTTGATCCGACTCACTCTCTGTGCCATTCGTAGATAGCTTCTACGTTACCGAAAACCATCTTATCTTTCCCAGCGCGTAGATCTTCCGGTAATGGAATCTCGCATTCAGGATTTCGCATTAGTGCCATGTAACCTTCGACTATCTGCTTCAAGTCATTGACGTAATCTCTCTCGGTGTCCACCAGCTCGCGAATAACAAACTGCCGCTTTGCGATCGCACTATTTTCTGGATCTGACTCGTCGGAAGTGATTGTCGCGTTAATAGTCGCGTTACAATATTCCTCCTCGTTGCTTAACGTTAGGGATTTCCCATTAGGAGTTCGCATAAGACTATGCCTCTCCTGATTTTCTGTATGTTGCTCCTGTTAATAATACTTGGCGTTAATAATACTTGGAGCAGTGCATATGACATGAATGGACTCTACTTACCATTCTCTCTTTGACGATCTGCTCGATCTCCGAAAGATCGGCCGTTGTGGCGCCGCCGCCGCCATCGAGAATCTTTGTACGTTCCGACAGACTAGCAGACTATATTAAATGAAGCAATTAAGAGAGGAATTAACAGGAAGGAAGATATATATGAGATGATATGATATATACGCGATCGAGTCTTCTCTCTAGTCTCTACTCTCCAAAGAGTAAGACGCGCAAATACTCACTCGTTTCCCGGGCAATTCACTCGGTATCGTAGATCCTGATGGACCATTTGCAGTCGCTACAAGTATCGGTTCGGTTATAGGCTTCATCGGAGGTGGAAGTTCTAGATCGTCGTCGGCATCTTCGCCACCGTTCTGCTCCTGCAAACTCGTCGCCACCGTGTCGTCGCTCTCCGTAACGTCCGCGTCCGCGTCCGCGTCCACCTCAACCTCTTGCTGTTCTTCACCTTCGCCCTCCTCTTCCTCCTCCTCCCCCTCGCCTTCGCCCTCGCCCTTACAGATTTCCTCGCCTTCCTGCACCTCAGCCTCTGCTTCGAACGCCGTCTTGTTAGGCCGCCGATTATGTTCGACGCCGCTCGGTAATTTAAAGCGTTTGTCCGAGTCGCTTTTCTTCAAAGACGGCCCAATCAAAGGAGGCGATGACGTCGGCGCGGCTGTATTGGTTTTCTCGACTTTACCTTGGCTAAGTTTGCGTAAAGAAGGTGGGAGCCACTTCCGTCTATAAACAGAAACGCCCGGCCATGGTACGTGATTATCACACGTTGCACGTGTGACATTTCGAGATAAGCGCGAGGCATTTAGAAGAGACAGAGTTTCTATATGAAATGCTCACCCGCTGAAAACTCGCCTCTTGTTGCCAGGTGAATTTGTACTAGTTACCGACCCGCTACCGTCGCTTCCAGCGTTTTCTGTTGATTAAAAAAAAAAAAAGAACAATTACTTACTTTATGCATTCCTAAAATTGCGCTCCAACTTATCAGTCGCCGGTTATCGAAATAGAGATAAGAGGCGAGCGTGTGCGATCGCGCCGATTTGCGGTTCACCGACTTCCTGCAGTTCTCCAATCCGGTTTTTGTTTATACTTGATACGCGTCGCGTGATAATACACTGTATTATTGCCGATTAGTTGTTCCATAGAGTCGAGTTAGTGGGAAGTACTGGAAAGAAATTTACTTACCCGCATCCTCCATCGGCGACAGCACCGTGGATGACAATGTGGTCAACGAGGAAGTTTGCTGCGTCATCGACGGGATGCCAGCTACGCAGCAGGTCGGTGGCAACGTGTTGGTGGAAATCGAAGATGTGACGGCAGTTTGCTGCTGTTGCTGTTGCTGTTGCTGCTGTTGCTGTTGCTTTTGCTGTTGCTGCGTTTGGACGATTGCTTGATTGATTTGCTGCTGATGGTAAGGATGATGATGCGACTGCTGCTGCTGCTGCTGCTGCTGCTGTTGTGACTGGTGATAATGATGGTGATGATGATGATGATGATGATGATGATGCTGCTGCTGCTGCTGCTGCTGCTGCTGCTGCTGCTGCGATTGTTGCTGTTGCGTGGACGCTTTTCTGGACGGCGAAGTTTTGCAGGAGGCGGTTGGCGGTTGTTTCAGGGCGCTGGTGGGCACTAGACCTTCTGCGGCCGGCTCGACTTGTCCGGGCGTGAGCGGCAGACGCACCAGGGTCCATTCACCAGCGTTGGGCATGCCACCGATGGTGCTGGCGTTTGCGTTACCATTCTCCAGCACCTCGACCTGCTGCCCCTTTGTCACGCTGAGCTCCTTGGAGCCGGGAGCGGCCATATGATCAGCGACCACCCATGTCATCTCGACGACTCCGGTCTGAAATCCGGAATCACGCATCAAGAATCCTCAATTCCGCGATGGCGATACGTTGCGCGCGCGTTGAATATCAGGGGGCTGAGAGAAAGGTGGGGGAAGAGGGGGAGGGCAGGGAGAGGGCGATTATAGAAATGGAATAATTAGCGAATGTTAGTGTCTGTGTGCGCGCGTGCGTGAAAGAAATGGTGATAGCGGCCGCGACGGGGCGGGGGCGGGGGCGGGG